ATATTATTTCTATTTATATAAATGAGAATAACTTTCAGTTAAGATAAACATATGACACTCCTCCCAAGCTCTTATATATAAATATATATGTGACATATATTTTAACCTGGAGTAACAGAAAATCGCTTGTAAATTTCAAGTTTTTGGTTTGAAAAAGAAGCTTAAACAGGAATATTTAAGAGAAAACAAAAAACACATATAGAATTTCTATGTTAGACACGTCCGCCCATAATCGCATTAGATTTTGATATACATACATATATTTTAAATTGAGTGTCTCTTGCTCTGAAGTACAAACACCTGGACAATCATTAATCAAAACCCATATACTCTACTCACTTCCTGCACGAGTATAAATAGCCACCTGTTGCAGATGCCGGCCGCAGGCGGTCGAGGCTGTGACATCAATTGCAATTGAAAACAAAGTATTGTACAAACTATGCTCTTCGCGAGTCGTTCAACCTGTCTGACCGTCTAGTCTAAACGAAATGCGACCAAGACCCACTCCCAGTTCAACTGCAACTCCAAGTCCAAGTCCAAGTCCAAGTCCAAGTCTGTGTCCAGGCTGAGCCAGTGCAGTTGCCTATTTTGGCCAGTGAATGTGAATGTAATAAATGCCACAGATTACGTGATACATCGATGTTGACAACTTTTAGCTATGAAACTGGAAATTTTCACTTGAAGAACAATTGAGGCCGATCAAAGCCAATTGGAACTCAGTCTCAATGTATTTAACTGGCAGAAGAGTTCGGCTAACAGACATGACATACATTTTTTTTTTATATAGAACAGCTTATAGAACAGTTTATAGAACTGTTATACTACTTACTAGATATTTTTGTTGTATATTTACACGTATAAAAAAGTTGTATCAAATCACTTCTTTTTTTTTTTTTTTTGGAAATACTTATTTTAATTTAGAAGATTTTTTAATAGCGGGTATTTGATTATTTTGCTAATTGTTACGCCCTAGTTTGTATAATATTACTTAATTAATGAAATAAATGCACTAGCATGTTTCAAGTCTTAATGAAGCTTCGGTTATGCATGCAGTCACACGAACAGCATGCCAGACAGGCGGACGGACATGCGGCCAAACGATCTTCACTTATAGCCAATAGACTCTTTTCTACTAATTCTTCAGCTGACTAGAAGAAACTTAGGAATTTGCCATCACATCATCATGTCAAGTGTGCTTAGTCATAATCAGGCTAGCAAAATCTGCCTAGTTTTTGCTAACCCTTGGCTATATGAAAATCCTAGTTTGACCTGCTTTCAATGACCTTTCGTGGATGGTCCAACGTTATTCACGTCAGATTTAAACTTATGGCACCTCAAAATTGTGTCATTTAGGCGCTTCAAGCGATGGCACACTTACTTTCCTCACGGCAACCGAAACGGGTTAAAATGAATTGAAGAAGCTTAGCGTGGGCTACTTACAAGCTTAAAAGAAAAATGATTGATTTAGTTTGCTGAAACTGAGTCCAGTTAAGATGCAAAATATTCAATAAGAAGTCAAATAATATAAAAATATATAAAACGTTGCTGTTTCTGCTGCTAAATCATATCGAAGCTAAATTTTTGTGTGAATAATTAAATTTTGAATATCTCCTATGTCCTGTTAGCTATAGTTCAACATATTATTGTAAAGTTTTTTCTTCATTTAAAATGTGTTCAATATATTATAAAGCTTTAAACTCTCAGACGGAAATTTCAACATCCATAATTTATATATTGTTTGTATTAAGATATAATATTATTAAATATATGTATTGCTTAGTAATTTATAGAAATATACGCAATCACATATAAATTTCTGTTTAGATTATATAACAATTGCCTTTTGAGCGACCCTTCCAATCTGCATTATGTCACATCGTATTCAATCGCTAGCTTCGCAGAATCACTGATGCATAAATAGCTCAAATAACATAAGTTTGCTAAGCGATTAGCTGCGTCGTTTCCTAGATATGAATTTCAGCTGAGCATGTTTGCATAATTTTAATCAGTTTTCGCTTCTCGGTTGCAGTAATGGGCCGCGCATGGGGCTGCCGCTGAACATCCACAATCCGTTGACCCTGTACAAGGGCGGCTTCAGCAAGCAGCGCGAGACGGTGTTCATAGTGCACGGCTTCAATGGGACGGCGGTTGACATGCATCTGCAATTTTTGCGGGATGGTTAGTGAGTATGGAATAGTTGCGCCGATCGACGACTGAAGACCTTTAACACGCCTCATTGTCTTTGGCTTTAGCATACTTGTCGCGGGAATTCAATGTGATAACTGTCGATTGGCGTCCGTTGACACGTTATCCGTGCTACCTGCACTCGCTGATTAACACCCGTTTGACGGCGCAGTGCACCGCCCAGGTGTACTCGTTTCTCACGCACTATGGCGCGGAACGTGAGAAAATCACCTGTGTGGGCCATTCGCTGGGCGCCCACATCTGCGGCATGATCAGCAATCACTTGACGATGAAGCAATATCGAATCATTGGGCTGGACCCAGCGCGTCCTCTGATTGAGCGCAAGAAGAGCAATCGGTTCCGACTGTCGCATGATGATGCCAGTGTTATACAGGTGCTCCACACGAATGCCGGCTACCTCGGCCAGGAGGACAATACGGGACATCTCAACTATTGTGTGAATGGAGGCCGGGTGCAGCCGTACTGCAAAGGAAATCCGATTAGTGAGAGAAAATATCTGTATAAATGTATAGGTAATTTAACGATTTTCATTTCAATCTACCGAAACATAGGACGTTCGCGCTGCTCACATTTTCTGAGTATTTGCTACCTGGCCTCAGCCACCATGAAGCATTCCAAATTTATGGGCGTGCCCTGCCCGAATGGCTGTGTCAATATATCAGGGCCTAGACGTTTGCCAGTTAACGGTAAAGTGAACCCCTTTGAGTTTGTATCGTTGCTGCGGGAATATAAAATAGGAAATGATGCGCCAGACGAGTAAGCTAATTTGTACTTCAAATTTTATTTAACGATATTTTATTTTATTTTATTTTAGAGCACGCGGCTGCATATGCATTGATGTACCATTTGCAAAACATTGTCCTTTTGTGGATTAATAGAATTAATTAATAGTTTATAGTTAATACGTCATTGTAAGTAAGTTATTAACAATAAAATGTAGAGTATATCGCACAACGGTAATTTAAATTTTTACCTTGGCGCCAAATGCCCAGGATATTGCATGTTTAGGGAAATTGTTGTTCCAGGGAAATTGTCGTCTCAACAGCGCATCAGAAATATCGATATGAAGTATCGAACAGACATGCAGTATATCGATAGCTGCACATCTCTAATTTACCATACAGTCAATGAAAACAACTGATGAGCGAGAAAAACACATAAATAACAATAAATAATTAATTTGTAGATTTTATCTGATAATAATATAAAATGGGATGCGATGGAGGTACCATACCAAAACGTGATGAGCTTGTAAGAGTTAAGCAAAAGCCGGAACAGGTAAGGAAATTGCTCACATTCCAGCCATTCGCTTTCTCATAGTGAAAACTTACAGAAAGACAAAGATGCAGAACGTGAGTTTCGGTGGCTGCACTGTGCGCTGACCCAGCAGCGTTTGGAGGAGCCCATTGCGATGTGCTCTATGGGACGTCTCTACTCCAAACAAAGTGTCATCGAACGTTTGCTGGAGAAAGAGAAAATGCCCGAGGGCTCAGCGCACATACGCAGTCTGAAGGACATCAAGACGCTGCAATTGACTCCAAATCCTGCATTCACGGATGAGGACAAGACCGAGGGTCTGCTGGACACACGCCATGCGCCCTATATATGTAAACTAATAGGCCTGGAGATGTCGGGCAAGTTTCGTTTCGTGGCGCTATGGACCTGCGGCTGTGTCATGTCAGAGCGTGCCCTGAAACAACTTAAAGGCAGCATGGCCAGTTCTTGTCCACTTTGCCAGGTGCCCTACAGTGTGGAAGATGTAATTGTGCTGAATGGCAATGATGAGGATCTGGAGCTAATGAAAGTCAAGAGTGAAATGCGTGAGGCCAAACGCAAGTCTGCCAAGAAGGATAAGAAAAACTCAAAGAAAACTGAAACAGAAACGAGCGTCAAGGCAGAACCAAAAGATGAACCCGCCTCCACTTCCAAAGGAGTAGAAAAACCCCCTACCACCAGCAGCAGCAGCACCAGCCACAAGCTGAAAATTGTGGCCAATCCCAAACGTCTGGGCGCCGTCAATGCTATGCAAGACCCAGAATTGAAGCGTCTTAAAACAGATTTTAGCGTTGCGAAGGATCCGAAGGCTACCGATGTGTACAAATCTCTGTTCACCAGCCACAAAACTGATAAGGAACAGGAGCGCGCTCACTGGATCACCTACAATCCGTTCTACAATTAATGGCAGAGATGTCTCCAACCTGATTTGACAAGGGAGAACTCGCCCACTGGATCGGCTACAATTTGTTTGTAATTTAGAATTCTATATAGACTTAAGATCTGAGTTCAGTTTGCTGTACGCTTTCAATCACAATATCCTCAAAGTAAAAACAGAAACAGTAGGTACTGTTTCAGTTTAGTATATGTAACTGATTCTTACACGAGAGATTTCAATATGTATCGCTCGTCCTATCAAAAGGGATTCCTGACGGTTCTTTACAGCGTGGGCAGCTCCCCGCTGGATAAATGGTCCACATATGTGAGTATACGGCAAACGCTGTCTAATAGACATCTATAAGAATTCAATATGCAGACAAAAAATGGTTATATCAAACGCGTTTACGATGAGGATATTAAATCTTTGGTACTGGAAATAATGGGATCGAACGTCTCGACTACATTTGTACATTGCCCCAGCGATTGCAAAGCAGAGTTGGGTATTAAGCTGCCATTTCTGGTGTTGCTCATAAAAAATATGCATAAATATTTTTGCTTTGAGGTTAAGGTGAGGCTGCAGAGCTATATGCAATGTCAGATTAAATCTGATTCGAAATCCGTTTGTAGATTCAGGACGATCAGCGCTTTATGCGCCGCTTTCGTGTATCGAACTTCCAGAGCAAAACATCTGTGAAGCCCTTCTGCACAGCCATGCCCATGGGCATGTCGCCTGGCTGGAATCAAATACAATTCAATTTGGCCGACTTTACACGTCGCGCCTATGGCTCGAACTACTTGGAGACCGTGTCGCTGCAGGTGCACGCCAACGTGCGCATCCGACGCGTCTACTTCACTGACAAGCTTTACACTGAAGCCGAGCTGCCCAATGACTATCGTCTGATGGGCAAGCCCAAGGATCTGAAGAAGGAGAAACAATTTAAGGCACCGCCCACCGCTCGTCCACCATCGCCTCTGAATACGGCACGTGCCGAGGCGGCAACTGCCAAAACCGAGGAGTCGGCGGCGCCAGTGGAGACAGATACCGAAATGGAGATGGGCGCTTCCGACGCTGGCAAATCGGCCCCGCCAGAAACTGCTGAATCTGATGCGGCTCCAACAGAAGAGCCGCCGGCACAGACCGACGCCACCGAGGAAGCCTATTATTAAGATATTTCTGCTGTTAATGTTCAAATGTTCAGTTATATGTTTAGATTGTGCACGCAACTGGAAAGAGGCCCAGGCCAAGGCCGAGTAGCAGCTAAATTAGCTAGTCGTAGGAATACAAGAATCGATTAAAAATATACATTCCGTTTTTGTTTCATCTCGTTAAGGTGGGTTGCTCGTAGGGAGAGAGGGCATGAAGAATCTTTAACTGGCAAAAGCATCAGGGATCATATTTCGTATGGTCAGGTCCACTCAAACGATCTGCTGAAGTCCTCTCTTTAGAGCACCGTTCGTTCTCTTCTCTCCTGTACTGAAATATCAAGAGAAATTCATTATAAAATTACCTAACCAATTTCACGATCGTCTCTGTTTATTTTGTGTATACTAAGAATTCACTATTGATTTTGGAGTGGCATGGGACACTTGGTAACTACTGTTGGGCACATAAGAGGAACAACTAAAGTACGATTCGTAGACATAATAGTTTATTAATTGCAAGACTCGAAAACAAACTTCACTGCTTCGTTCAGAATCCGTCGTCTAAATTTTGCTAATAGGTAAACCTTAAAAAAAAACTCTCACGCTTGTTATACGGAACATTCGATTTCTTTGGGCGCAGCTAGGATGCGATGGCTTCGTTGGCGATGCTCAACATTTCCGTATCGATGTTTTTAAGCGCGTTGTGATACTCTGTGATCTCCAGTGCCTCCCATTCGGCTTTGAAGGCCGCCTTCGGGTCCTGGGGCATGGTCATTGCTGCGCCGGTCATAGCATCGGCCTGGGCTTGTGTCTGATCCGCGTGGTTGTTCTCGCCGAGCACAAGCGTGTAAATGGAACGCAAGCCAAAGACGTTCAGGAAATACCATGAGGCTGACGACACCCAGGCAGCATCGAGGGAAGCCAACTCCACGCCGCGCTGCAGCATAGGCTTGAAGCGCAGTGTGAGAGGGAATGGAACTTTGGTGGTCACAAAACCCGAGAACATCCAATTGATCCAGCCACCAATAACGACCATGGGCAGCACATTTATAAAGTTACCCTTGACCATGTCAGTCAGCATCGCCGAAGAGTTTTGTGCGACCGGCGCACGTTTCTGTGTCTTGAAATATCCCGTCTCCTCGTTGTTGAAAAAGTTCTTTCTCATGGAGAACGACTGGGCACTCAGATATTTTCCATTCTCGCGCAGCAGCCGAGCGCGAATCATGGCTTGGCTGTAAGAAAGGAGTTTCATACATAAATATTCAATTTCAATAATGAACCTTGCTCACCTGTCCATGATTTGGGTCATCTCTGCTTTTTTCTGCGTGGATATCAGAATGGACACGTAATGGCGCACAATACCAACTAAAAATGTGATTAATACGATGGGCAAGAACACCCACACGCGTATATCGGGATCTATTAGTAGCTCCGTCATATTTAATTATTAATTAGACTTAATATTCAACTAAATTTTCAGCACCCGACGAATTTGGTGCTAGAGATGGATGTGTATAAAAAATTGAAAATATCGGACCTATCAAGTAGCAATGACTGACAATAATCGATTCGGCAGTAAATAATTTGAATGTAAAATATTTAAATTTTTGTCTGACTAGTAAATAAATGGTATTGAAAAACCTTCTAAATTTCCAAATATATTTATAAATTATATAGAAAGTTACCTTATTTTCTTACATTAAGCCTGTAACCGATTCCAGTACCTAACTATCGCCAATCGATATTATTAGACTTTTCATTTATTCATTCATTTAAAATTTATTACAATATAATAGTAGATTTTTTTAAAGTAATCATATAATATATACATTATCAGCTTATGGTACGTGTTTAATCATAAGTTTACATTTAGGTTTTTCCAGAACAGTATTTGTTGGATATTGTTAGGTCTTTGCCGTCATACACAATATTTTCATAGAAAAACTTGCGATTGACGCGACACTGTGGACCACATCTGGTTGACCCACAATTGCGGCACTCGTACCAACAGCCACTACATTGCTCGTTCATACAGTCGCAGACATCTAAGCCATTGGATCTTATATTTCCATATTCGTCATATGCGCTGTTTTTGCCATTATAGCAAGTTTTCTTCTTGACCTTGCGCTTGGATCTTTCTGCTTCCGTACTGCTGTTATCGTCTATGGTTTCCTTACGTTGTGGACGCTGTCGCAAGCTTCGAGCACTCATTGCTTTTATGTTTTCTAATATATTTATGTATATTTTGTGGAAAAACCAAAGTGGATAACCAATGGAAGATGAGCTTATCGATATTTACTCCAGCGATAAGTTATCGCACAACCCTTACGCATTTTTTTTTTCAGAATACGAATGTTCAGTGTGACCATTATAGTCGACTACATTGGTTCAACATATGACCAAGTTAAATACTCACCTCCTGCGACGCCAATAAAATTGAATTCGATTTATTGAACGATCAAAGAGATTGGAACAATGGAGACCAAGCCAGATTCGCCAGCAACAACAACGAATCCACCGCCAACAGCAGAAGCTGCTAAAGAGACCAGCAGTGCCGCAGGCGCCGTTGCAGTCAATAGCAATGCACAAACGCCATCAACTTCAGCGCCAACAGCAGCAACCACAGCCCCGGCACCAGTTTCAGCCAATAATTCCAGTTCCAGTACAGGAACAGCAGCGTCATCATCTGCACCAGCATCGGTTACGACAGCCAGCACTGCACAGCAGCCGCCGCCGGCTAAAAGGCCAAGCGCGCCAACAGTGACGCGGGCCGATCCCAGCGCTCTGCCTACACGCCAATATCTCGATCAGACAGTCGCGCCCGTCTTGCTTCACGGTCTGCAGGCATTGGCCCGCGAGCGGCCCACCGACCCCATACAATTTCTAGCCTCGTACTTGCTGAAGCACAGCAACGGCTGCGAAGAGCCGGTGGCCACCGAAGCCAGTACTTAGATGTAGTGTCTCGTCTTTGTTCCCAACGTTGCCCCGTTGCCCTAGCTTTGTAAGTGAAAGTCCCTAATCAATGTTTAAAATTACAAATACAAATATATAATAATAATAAATCGCATCCGCGCACCATTCACTTAATAAAATTTATTCCATTTAGGAAGTGATCGGGTAACCCCAGGGATCCAGTTTGTTGTTGAGCAGCTGCAGCGATGTGTCGGCAATCTTGACTAGCACCTCGGCCAGTTTCTGTTTCGTGTAGACCTTGTACAGCTGTCGACGCTCGTCGGCAATCTCATCTGCCAGTCGTATGCAAGCCGGATAATCGCCCGACTTGGCCAATACGTCGTGCAGCAGCAGCACAATCTCTGGCAGGCAAATGGAGCGCAGTTTTTCCAGCTGTAGGAGTCGGTTCTCCCAGTGCAGCTGTGCTGCATTCTCCGGCTCCTTCGGGATGAAAGGATCGCTTAGCCAGCCCTTTTCAGGAAACAGCAGCACATTGAACAGGGCATCGGTGGTCACTACATGAGAATAGAGAGATTAGAATTTGTTGGAATAGGGTTGGACGGACACTGTTCTTACGCTTGGATTGTTCTTTGACCTTTTGCTCCCAGCGTGCCAGCTCCGTCATGTAAGTCTGTTCCTTGTGTTGCGCACTCATGCGCTCCGTGAAATTGTCCTGTGTGGGGCCGGAGTTCTGTGTGTCCTTTTGCGGTGGTTGGGGCCGGGCCTGCTGCAGTCGAACCCACTCATTGAAGCTGTCCACCCCGGACAGGTAAACCTTGTAGCACAGGAACTCCTTCAGGCTGCACTCCTCGCGGGGTCCCAAGTTATCCAGGGAGCCATAAACCGTGATCAGCTGATTCGTCACGTCCGCGGGCACCATGGCAAACACCTCACGCACACACTCGATCTTGTTGCAGGCCAGATACTGACGCATCATGGCATTTGCCTGCCAGAGCAGCTCACCTCGTTGCTCCAGCAAATGCAGGAGATACTCGAGTGAGTGAATCTTACGTTTGTCTACTGCTGAAATGGACCCCGTTGGGGGTTCACCTAACGCGCTAGACGGAGCATTCTCCTGTCGCATGATCTCGACCGTATGACGGGTGATTTGCTCAACATCCAGACCCGCCTGCAAAGCTGCATCCAGCGCCTGTTCCCGCTGTCGCTTCTGATCGATTTTGGTAAGAAACTTTGCATAGAGCTGCACCTGCAGCTTGTTGGGTAGGCCCGCCGTATAGTAGGCAATGGCCTGAGGGTCTCCACGCTTGATCAACGTATCCACATAGGCGGCGATTATGCGTTCTGCCTGCTGCTGCTGTCCTTGCTGCTCCACTCTCCCGATCTGGCGCATGAAGAGCACAATATGCGCCATGAAACGCAGCTGATGAGGCGGTAGGTACGAGTCCTTGGGCACGGCGTCTAACCAGCGGCACATATGCTGCAGCAGCTCGCCACAGGTGTCCAGTATGATGTGCTGCTGGATGACGCCCAGTTGGCTCTGGGCATAGTCTCGCACAGACACATCCTTGGCCACGCTCAGCTCATCGAAGATCTGCTCCAAAGTCATTTTGCCATTCCAGTACTCGTCCGGCATGGGCTGATAGCGCTTCATGCAACAGCCGCGAATCTCGCTTTCGACTCGGATGTCTATCTGCACCTTCATGTACGCCCAGAGCAGATCCTGCCAATTGCTGTGCAGCAGCGTCTTCAGCGCGCCCAGGTGACCGCAGAAGACGGCCGCCGTGGCGCGTGTGTACTCATCGTATTTTTTGGAGTCGGCCAGCAGCCAGGCGCAACGCTTCCAAACGTCGCGGCGTGGATTGCCTTCGATGGGCAACTTCTCATTAATCTGGCCCGGCACATGCTGCTCAAAGTTGGGATCCTCGTGCAAACGCCAGCCTTCCAAAATGGCCGCCCGCCAGGTCTGGCCAAAGTGCTTGCACAGCTTGAGCGCCTCGTCGATGTGCCCGCTGCGTATGGCTGCAAAAATGGCGCGACCCAGACGAGCGTTGTCTTCCATGTCCAGGGCGTGCAGTGGCTTGCCCTCACGCACCGGCGCATCCGGATCCAGTTGCTTGCATATCTCATGGCCACGACCAAAGGCGGCTCCCTGCAGATTCTCCAGCTGAAAGAGCGTGTTTTCCCAGGCCATCATGCGATCATGACTCTGCAGTGCATTCGCCTGATCCTTCTCCTCGTAGCACTTCTCCAGCCAATCCACTACCATTTGGTACTCACGCAGCTGCGAATTTATGGAGTACAGCTGCTGTATGACCTATTAAATGGATATTGAAATTAAATATAGAACACATGAAATACAAATCAGAGGCTTACCTCCTTTTCGCTACCGCCCAGCAGTGGACCCTCCTGCATTTCATCATCCGCATGCGCATCATTTTGGAGCAACAATCGATCATAGTAGAGAGCGTGGAGAAGGCGCCAGGTGTTAATCTCTTGTTTCAGCCACTTGACGCTGGCCTCGCGCTGCTTTGTGCCATGGTTTCCGCCCATGCCACGGTCAATCTCCAGCTCCAGTTGCTCGACCACTTGCTCGCAGGCCTGGGCCAGCATTTGCACCACATCCAGCGTATCATTTGTGTTGTTGTGCGTGTGCAGCACCTCATAGAAGTGAGCAAAGAGTATGTCTATTTTATTGACTCCGTTATCTACTGCATCGATGTTGTCTGTTAACAGAGTGCTGTCGCCGCTCATGCTAGTCACATCAAATCCCGCCATTGTGCGATTCTGCATGCGAGACAGAAGTCCCATGGCTCCGGAGCTGGTGTTCCTGAACAAATCCTGCTCTTCCGGCAGCATCGTTATGGACAAGTTGTGTGCCTGATTGTTTTGCGTACTGTTCAAAGGCTGACGTAGCAGACTGCGCCGGGGCTGCAGCGGACTGTCCATTGTTGCTTCTTGTTTTACTTATATTTATATTAATATTCTTAGTTATCCACACGCGACAAAAATGCCGGGACTTTGCAATGCAACTTAATACAACACTGAATTTGGGCTATTTTGCAGCACTGACCATGCGTGGTACGCAGCTCATTTAAATTGTTTGAATCCTCGATATAAAAATTCAAATTTTATATGCGAATACGTATGTAAATGAACATATTAAATTGTTGTAATTTAATTTATGTCAGATATGCATTATTACACATGCTCCACAATGTCATGTGATGGTATTGTGGTATTGCTGTCAAACATGTTCAACGAGCACGATACACCTTTCAGCAAACCATTGTGAATGTCAAACTTTGCCATGCAACTTTGAGTTGTCAGCTAAGTTGGAACGTGCATGCGCCGCAGATTAAAAGTAAGCGTCGTTTTTATTATTTTGTTGTAACAATAAAAGGACGTTTTTTTGTTGTCGGTAATGTGATGCTTTAATTTTACACTGGCACTGGCAGTGCAGAGCCGAAGTATTGTTGAAAATACAGTGTGTAATTGCATAAACAAATATGGCGAGACACTGGCCAAATTGTTGTACGCTAATTGTGTAAATAAATGTATTCCAACTGTAAACCTGAAATTTACTGTAGTGCAGTTAAATAATCATATATATAGTTTATATGGAAGCAAGCAAACGGCAAAGATTATTTTCAAATGGCAACCAACTACAAATGTTAATACAGAAATAAATTCTATACCAACAAAATATAATTAAGTTAAAAAACAACACAACAAAAGGTAAGAACCGGAAATTGATTTTTTCTCATATACTTATGTTTATACATATGTAAGTATGTATGCATTTATGTATACATATATTCATATTCATGCATACACATTTATGTGTAGATACATACATATAACAGCATATATTAAGATATATGCATTAATATGCATAAACGTATCTACATACATATATACTAATTCATGTTTGAATGTATCTAAAATAAATACAGTTTTATAACAAATGAACTCTACATACTCGCTAGCCAGTGTATAGAGAGAGGCAAACAGAAAATCGAATAACTCGAGCATATTACTTTTGGACACATTAGTATATAAACAGTGTATCGGCAAATGTGTTTATTTACATATACATACATATATCTATATATAATTCCCTTAGCGGTATGTTATTGGTACTTTTTCTAAGGGGAAAAAATTTCCCATAGCAAACATAAATAATGCAAGAAAAGTGAAAATTACAATTATTAATTTATTATTTTTTAGTGCACTGTATATAGAGGAGTCAATAGGATATAGAGACAGATTGATGGGCATATAGAGTATATTATATATTCTATATAAAAATATAATATGTATATGTAAGCAGACATCATGTTTCTTGATTAACTTTATTTTTATTCTATATACTATAAAAGTAAAAAGATATAATACAATTAATTTATAGTAATAAAAGTAAAATTAAAAGGCCATACATTTATTTTATCATATTCATACATATATACACATCTATTTGTGGTAATATCTGCGAAAAAAAAGAAAAAGAATATATTCTTGTATTCCTATATAAATAATTTAAATTAAAAAAATTTTTTTTGCTAATGTATTTTACAAATTTTAAAATAATACTATTTTTTTTTTTAATTGCTAAAAATACATTAATTTTTTTAAATTTATATTATATTTATTTTTTTGACGTCTGCAATGCCCGCATAACTTTTGCATGAACCTTGGAATTTAGCATTAATTAAATTAACATATAAGACTATTGGCATTCAGAAGGTCAAAGGCAGCGCACAAAAAATTACTATAAAAAGCTATATTGAATTTCTTTAAGTTGATTTAGTCGGACATTAACCAATAAATTGTGCCCGCTCTCCAATCGGTCCTTTGACATATGACACACATATGACATATGACACACTGTACTGCAGAAAAATTCGATCCATTATGCTTGGCTGCAGCAGCACTTGTTTACTTTAAGCGCAGATCCACTTATGTTTATGACTGTAGGACCATCATGCGCAGTCCCTAACTCCGGCACTGAAATAGTTTACAAAGTAAAAATCCACTTAGAGCGCGATCTTGGCCATTTACTTTTGCCTCGATGTGTTAGTCTTTAAGAACAGCTCAAACCGAACTGAGATTTCTACATCATAATAAAACTCAACCCAATAGGAAGAGAACTTCAAAAGTGTGAACTTCCTTAAAGTAAAAAAAAAAAAAAAAAAAAAGCAGTAATCATTGACTATATTGGTTTATGGCATTCTCCTACTTATCGAATATTATGTGTAATTTAAATCGACTTGAAAACCATAATTGCCTAATTTTTAATTTTTCTCTTTAAAGCCTTAACTCAAAAGCCAGAAATCGCATTAATCATGGCCGTGCAGCTGAAGAATGCGTATCATCATCTGCCGCTGACCATAACGCCGATACTCTGCCAGCCGCTGCTGACGCCGGCGCCGACGCCGCCGAAGCCGGAGCCGCCAGACTTGACGTTTCACTGCATGTGCTGTGCGGAGTTTTTTGTGCATCCCTTGGCGCTCTACCAGCACATGAACAGCAAGCATCCGAACGACTCGACGCCACAGCAGCAACAGCAGCAGCAGCAACAGCACGAGCAGGAGCAGGCGGCGGAGGAGGACAGCACAGATTATAGCTGGATCTTTGAGCCGGTCTGCGAGCTGGAAGTGGCCGCGGATGCAGCGCCGTTGCGCAGCGACGATGACAGCGACTCGAACAGCGACGAGGAGGCGGAGGAGGGCAGCGAAGCGGACAGCGACAATGATAGCGACAGCAGCAGCAGCAGCAACAACAGCAGCAGCGGCAGCTCCTCCAGCAGCAGCACCACCAGCAGCAGTGGTGGCCGTGGTGGGGCGATGGGCGGCACCAACAGCAACTCAAACACGCAGCCGAGCTTGGACAATGTCGCCTATGTCGATGTGGGCTCGACGCAGCCCATGCGAGGCCTGCTGCCCGGCCTGCAGCCCAATGAGTACCAGCTGCAGACAGCAGATCCGCATGAATCCACCTCCATCATACTGCTGCAGCCATCGCTGAGCATAACTCCAGTGCCGGTGGCGCCGTTGCCAGTGATGCAACAACAGGCGGCGCCGCCACTGCCGCCACAACCGCCGCTGCCCACGCTGAGTCTGGAGCCCGCGCCCATTAAGCGACGTCGTGGACGGAGAAGCAAGACGAATGCCAGCAGCGATGGCCAAGGGGCTGCAGCCGCTGCTGTTGCCCAGCTGGGCGCCAACGGGCAGAAGTGCTTTCAGTGCACCCACTGTGAGGCATCGTTCCCCAACGCCGGCGATCTGTCCAAGCACGTCCGCTCTCATATCTCGAACAAGCCGTTCCAGTGCTCCATCTGCCAGAAGACCTTCACGCACATCGGCAGCCTCAACACGCACATTCGCATCCACAGCGGCGAGAAGCCGTACAAGTGCGAGCTCTGCCCCAAGGCATTCACGCAGTCGAGCAGCCTGATGGTGCACATGCGCTCGCATGCGGTGCGCAAGCCGCATCAGTGTGTGCAGTGCGACAAGGGCTTCATCAACTACAGCTCGCTGTTGCTGCACCAGAAGTCGCACTCGGCGCCGGTGGAGAGCTTCGTGTGTCCGGAGTGCGAGCGGGAGTTTAAGGCCGAGGCGCTGCTGGATGAGCACATGCGGATGCACACCCAGGAGCTGGTCTATCAGTGCGCCATTTGCCGGCAAGCATTCCGCGCCAGCTCGGAGCTGGTGCAGCACATGAAGTGCCATATGGGCGAGAAGCCGTTCACCTGCTCCTTGTGCGATCGCTCGTTCACACAGTCGGGCAGCCTCAACATCCACATGCGCATCCACACGGGCGAGAAGCCCTTTCAGTGCAAGCTGTGCGACAAGTGCTTCACCCAGGCCTCCAGCCTGAGCGTGCACATGAAGATCCATGCCGGCGAGAAGCCCTTCCCTTGCCACATCTGCGGCAAGGCCTACAGTCAGCAGGCCTATCTCAACAAGCACGTCCAGGCGCATGCCATGGATGCGACGCCTGCGCGCCAGACGATGCCAGCGATGTCAGCGATGCCGCCGGCGCCAGCGAAGGAGACGCTTGTCTGCATCGTATGCGGGGCGCTGCATGCGGATGCCACGGCCCTGGCACAGCATGTGACGCGAGAGCACACGGCGCTGCTGGACAACATGAAACAGGCCACAATACCCCAGGCGCCGATGGCAACGGGCAAATGCAGCGCCGTGGAGCGACAGGCGCAGCAGCAGGCGTACATGGTGCGTGTGCAGTCGATGCTGCAGCAGATGAACCAGCAGCARCAGCAGCAACCGGCCATGGACTCGGCTGGCGAGGATGAGGAGGAGCTGGACGACGAAGACGAGCTGGACGAGGATGAGGCTGTCGAGCAGAACGAGACGCAGCAAATGGCCAGCATCGACGACGATGACGAGGATGAGGAAGAAGACGACGACGATGACATCGATGATGGTGATGATGAAGATGAAGATGATGATGAAGATGCAGTCGACGATGACGACGACGATGATGATGATGGAAATGAGCAGCAGCTGATAACGGATGCAGATATGTACTACGATATGCCCGGTGATTTTGCCGACATGGAAGTGGGCTGCGAGGAGGAGGTGTGCGGCGATTTTATTGAGAATGACGACTATGCTGCCGAAGAGGAGGTCTACACCGAGGATCTATAATAGCCGTTAAACTATATATCAGAGTTAGTTATGAGGTTACGCATCAGTTCAGATCACTATGATTACTATTATTGCAAACTGCATGCAAATCCTTGTTGTCACTGAAGCTAAGCGAACGCGAACAAACTTTACATTTTACTAGTTTAAGTCCTGTTTCCTGACCATAGTTATGATTATTATTGCTTATGGTAGTATTTAAATCATTATCACTCTCTCTCATACAACCACACTAGGATGAAGTACCTGGCAGAGCTCTCATATTTAAACGTTCTATAGACTTGTATGTTTAAGTTTTAACCCAATTATAATAGTTGCTTGCAGCTTGCAGAAGCCCCCATCTTCCATCGGTTGCTAACCTTCTCTCGCATATCAGCTTACAGTCTCTATAAGATTAACTCAGTCGGAGCTCTGCCCACGTACTCGAGCTCATTCGAATGCACCACTTTAAATGGTATTATACTTTAGTATTAAGCTACCCAATGTACGCTGCTCATTTATCTAATGACCCACACTGAATTGTGGGTCATGGTTTTGACCCTTATCCAAAAGAAAACAAAAAGAAATTCCCTCACAATTACAAAAGAAAAAACCTGAAGAGATTACATTAATCGTTACCTTAAAAACAAATTAAAGCTCTGTAGTTTATTTAATTTAAGAGACGTTTACTGGAAAGAAGAGGAAATATTATTGTAATTAATCTGTAGAATTTCGCTACTAGGAAAAGTACCTTTAGAAAGAATAGTAATTTTAGATTGTAAAATCCCTCTAAAAGTTAGAATAGTAGAGTGGAGTAGAGAGAACAAGTAAGCCTCTACATCATCATAACATTCTACGCCAGGTTTTCATAACTAGCTCAGCCCAGTTAACATTTTTTATATAACATTGTTTACATTCTGTTAACGAATCAATGTAATTGATAAGCAAATGCTTTAAAGCCTTGTAAAATTGAGCGGTGCGCCGGCTGACTGAATCGCATCTGTGGTGTCGGTTTCGGCAATGCCAAACATGCCGGGCAAAAGACAGCCGCTGGCAAAGGGATCATCCGGCTCGAATTTGGCCGGCGGCGCTATTAGCACATTATCGCCCTGATAGACATAGGGGAAGCGCAGTATCCAGTAGGCGCTCTGCGAGAGACGCGGCAGCACGGTGCAGCCCAGGGTGAAGGTGTACTTGCCCACACGCACCTTGGGATCGACTATGATGTTAACGGGCGCCTTCGGGGTGACCACATGAATGCGCATCAGCTGCGCCAGAAAGCTGACCTGGCCGCGACACGGGCAGGGGAAGTACAATGGCATATTGTTGTTGACCAGCTTGCTGCAGGTGTCGCGTTCGATGTCCGCACCGCCGCGCAGCACACGATCTGGACTGCACATCATGAAGCGATGGCCACGCGAGCACTCGTACTCGAAGCCCACGAAGATCTTGAGGGCCAGGCGATCGCCCTGCTTGCGGTAGCGCTGATTCTTCTTGCCCATCTGTTGTAGCGGCGGATGCTTGTGATGCGGCTGCAGCAGTCGCACATGCACATCCCAGGGCAGCAAGAAATTGGCGCCAGAGAGGAAGCCGCTCTGGAAGTGCTCCTGCAGCCCGGTGTTGTGGCTATAAATGGAGCTGGGACCCACACAAGCCAGCGACCAACTGGGGAACAGCGGCAGCAGCTCACACGCACTGCACATGTGCACCAGCCCGGGCAGGTATTCCGTGGTAGAGACTAGCTCTGGCATCGAAGCAACCGACTGCGATTCGGGACAACTCTCGCTGAGTGCTTCGGTGGCAGTCTTCTGGTCGCTGCGCTCTTTCAGCTGCAGCACTAACTCATTCTCCGTATTGGCGCTCGACGTGTCGCTGCTGGAGCTGTTGCTACGGCTGCGACTGCTCTGCCCGCTGCTGCATACTTGAGAGCTGATCTCGGGAGAGTGCGCGTCCTCGCCCTCGTTGAGCGAATCGCCGAAGCCCGCTATCGACATGTTCAGGTCGGAGCCGTAGGTTGCCGAAAGAGGCTGCGAGCAGCAGTCGCCCAAGGTCTGCAGTTGCTTCTGTGGCGCTGGCTCGGCCGCTTTGATTGGCTGCGAGTAGAGCTCGTCAGCTGCCTCGGCGTCCAGATCGCTGCCGCCCTGAACGGCAGGTTCCATTCGGTTTTTACTCGCCAACAGCAGCGGAAAGGCGGCCTCAAATGCCGCCGCTCGATAATCGCTAATTGAAGGCGTAAACAGGGGAAACTGAAACTTTTTGACCTTGACGCACAAGTTGCACATGACCGCCAGTTGCTCGTAGTAGTCATAGTTGGCCTGCCGCAGTGTGAACGGATCCTCGCGCCTGCCTTGCGTGCGTCCGCAATTGCAGCTGGAGATGTGCACAATGCCGCTGCTATGTTTGTCGTGCGCCAGATCCTTGGGCAGCGTGCAGGGATGGCCGCGCAGGCTGAGCTGTTCGCACTGCTGCCGGCCATCGTGCCAGTATTTCAGGCAGACATCGCTGAGCTTGGCCAGCGCCATCTCCACATACGGACCGCGTCCTTCCTCCTCGAAGGCCAGCGTGGCATCCGCCAGCAGCTGTTTGTGGGTGGCGCTGCCGTAAATGGCGGGTGCTGCGTTCCTATAGGCGGACACGCCCTTCTTTAAGCCCAGCTCGCACAGATGGCACCAGAACCTGTTGGGATAGAAAATGGTTAACAAAGGAATTTTTGATAAGCTCCTACTTACTTTTTCTCATAGTTAAGACTCTCATTAAGTTCCCGCAGATAGGCTTGCTGCAATKAATTATTATTAATTATAAATAAATATTTACAATAAATATTTTCTTACATAGTTGGTGTTGTCTGTTACGTAGTTGGCATCGTGCACATTTTGAATCAGTAGCCTGTATATTTGAGCCATGCAGGTGTGCCAATCCCTGGCGCTCAGCAGCTGGTATTGTGGCGTTTGCGTCAACAGCTTGAAGGAGCCCTCGTCAAAGTAACCCTGCAGAGCATCTTGCACATGACGCTGCAGGAAATGCCAAGCGGTATGGTTTTTCTTGTAGTCAAGCTCCTTGGAGTCGCGCGTTTTATAATCCGCTCCAAAGGGCTTCACAAAACCCTCGAATGGCGCAAGTGATATAATATCCAAATCTTCATCCTCTTCTTTGGCATCTGGCTTGTTCATGGTCGTGTTGAGCGCCTCAATGGCGTGCGACAGTTGGTCCGGATGTAGCTCCTCGTGAGCATTGTAGAACACAAACTGCTTGTTGTTGGGCAGCGCCACCAGGGAGGTGTTCACGTTATTGGTCAAAATGTTGTACTGGCGCAGCAGGTGGAAGATCTGGTCCTCCGTTTTAAACTCATAGCTGGATATATGATCACGTGTCTTCTCCTCATCCCGCGGGTAGTTTTCAAACAGAAAGAGCACACGCGGCGTGCAAGGGCGAGCTCGGTCGCCGAGCATTAGGCCTACGCTTGTTTCGTGCAGCATTTGGGGCAGGAATTCCAGCACATGCTGCTCGCGTACATATTTTAGCAGCTGGCAGATGGTCACCAGCGTGGTGTCGAATATCTCTGCGGTCTCCACATAGACCACAATGTGACACACGTGCAACGCCAGCAGCATATTGCGCACAAATCGACTACGCATTCGATAGTAAAAGTTGTCGAAGTCAATGGAGGTTTGACTCAGCAGCTGCTGGCTCAGCACCGCCTCATCGTAGGTGGTCTCAAAGTGCAGCATCAGCGTATTGGTACCTGGCTTATAGTAGCACAGTATCTGTCCATCTGCCGGCTCATGCAACTTATTCGGCCTCATGTCGAAGGCGCTCATTTTGTTCGCCTGCGGTCCTCTCGAGCGTCCAATAACGCCGACAACCACCAGCGAGTTGTTCAGCTCTGCTAGCATAGACCTATAGAATTGTACGCGGTCAAGTTTTGCTGATTATATTGCTTAACACTTACTCAACATTTTCAGGAATGTCTGGATATTTCCAGGTATAGTAACTCTTGGAGCTCATATTCTGCGTGCAGCGGTAACAAAAACAAGGCAAACATAAACAAGTTGAGATGGCAGCAAATACATCGATATATCGCAAATATCGCCATGTTCTCCAATAACTATCGATTCATATATTTTGGTAGCACCGCCAAGAGCTATCGACTTTTGAATATGTGTAGTGATATATGTAAGTACACCCGTTAAAAAAAAAAAAAAACATCTCCATTTGTTTTTTTCTCTAAAGCAATTAAATTTTATTGTAAACTTTTTGCCATTTATAAATACGATTAGCATACCTTACAGCTTTCCGTATGCCATAGCGTGTGTGTATTTTCATTTCTTTACATACTTTTGCTTCAATTATGAATGTTAAATGAGATTTAAAGTGCATGATTAAGTATAATGTATAATGTTTTAATTTGGAGCTATATAATGTTCAATTAAGTATGCATGTTTGGCTTAATGAGCACCTAAAATGATGTATGTGTTTTATATATTATCATATTTATGCAAAGAGCATGTTGAGAGAGTCTACTAATACTATGTGTGGCCATAATTAATAGAGCATACAATAGAGTAGAATCATAGAAGAGAGTGCGTTTATCCGTTCATACGAAGAGACTTAAGGTCAATTATTAAAGTGCTAAAGTGGTTTATAAAATGTATGTCGTTTTTCTTGTTTTCATTTATTATTTTGTTTATTCTTTTGCCATATTGAGCACATTTAAAATACTTGTATGTTTAGATTGCAATTGTTAGAAATACTAGTATCTACTACAAAGAGCATCGTGGAGTGAAGAACTTGAATGCTTCATCAAGGTATTTACAAATTAATTTGATTGGGAGTTTGATGTGTCAAAAGTCATGTCGTAATCTTATGATTGGGTTTTCTATGGATCTAGCGGATTACCTTTTATTTACATTGTTTAATTCATGAATTATGAAATTCTTTGTGCTTTGAATAATTGTGTATGTACTTTTATATTGCAACTGTCGGCTCAGTGGAACATCTAATAAAGTTCCATTTAATATTAACAAAATTGAAAAAAAAAAAAAAAAAAAAA